TAATTTTTGTATTTTTAGTAGAGACAGGGTTTCACCATGTTGGCCAGGCTGGTCTCAAACCCCTGACCTCAAGTGATCCACCCGCCTCGGCCTCCCAAAGTGCTGGGATCACAGGCATGAGCCACCGCACCCAGACTCCTGATAATATATTACACTTTTTGATAGGCAAAATATTTTTTACAACTGGACTCATGATGAATTCCTTGGTTAAAAGCTTGGGAAACACAGATACATGGGACAGTACGGTAGTATGGAAATCAGGACAAATAGCTTAGAGTCCTCACAAATATAATTCACTTCATTTCACTGTGCCTCAGTTTCCACTTTCATCTATAAAATGAACATACATATTATTCACCTGACTAAAATTCAATAATTTTTCCATATTATAGACCTCCTTAAAATGTCTTCTAAGAAGGTAATTCTTTATATTCTGGGTCACTGCAAAAAATTTTCTTAACTGACTGTACTCAGCACAGCATAGGATAAACAATCCTAAGAAGAAAAGTACACAGACTCTAGTATGTAGAAACTTATTGTAAGTGGTCTTAAAAAGCAAAGAGAAAAAAATATAATAATAAACTAAAAAGAAAGTAGACTACTTGTCTACTGCTGATAGCAAAAGTCAACAGAAAACACATCAGTATAAAACCTCCCCAAAGCATGGAAAGTCCCGATTAACAACAAATTAGTTGTCTTTTCATCTCACACTTCATTCCCAAAATACTAGCTTCCAAATGCCATCCACAGAACAAATGAACTGAAGAAGGGGAGGAGAACAAAGGAGAAAAACGGTATCATAATTGGTCTCCTCCCCTCGAAATTCCAAAAGATAAGAACTGGGGACCCTGGAGGTGGGTTGCAGCAGTAGTGGCTCACTTCTGTAATCCCAGCACTTTGGGAGGCTGAGGTGGGATAATCACTTGAGCCCAGGAGTTCAAGACCAGCATGGGCAACAAACAAACTCTGTCTCTACACAGTTTTTAAAATAAGCCAGTTGTGACGGCACATGCCTATAGTCCTAGGTACTCAGGAGGCTAAGGCAGGAGGATCGCCTGAACCCAGGAGGACAAGGACATAGTGAGCTAAGATCACACCACTGCATTCCAGCCTGGGCAACAGAGCAAGACTCTTGTCTCTTAAGAAAAAAAAAATGAAAGAAAGGAAGAAGAAGGGACGTAAGGGGGAAGAAATAGATAAAATTCAGCATAAAATTCTATTTACAGTCTAATATGCTGTGTATTTTATTTTTAACTTTTTTCAATGTCATAAAAACTTTTGATATTTTCTCAGGCTGAGCACAGTGGCTTGACAGTAGGATTACTTGAGCCCAGAAGTTTAAGACCAGTCTGAGTAACATGGTGAGACCCCATCTCTACAAAAAATACAAAAATTAGCCGCGCACCTGGAGTCTCAGCTACCCTGGAGGATGAGATGGGAGGATCGCTTGAGCTTGGGAGGAGAGGTTACAGTAAGCAGAGATCACACCACTGCATTCCAGCTTAGGCAACAGAGTGAGACTCTGCCTCAAATTAAATATATATATATATATATCTACTACTAATTTCTTTAAGAATAAAAAGCTATTGGTACATTTCTGAGTGAATTCATACTAACTTAAATTGAGCATAAAACTGGCAAGAGGCACTGGTGAGAAGGAGCACTAATCTCAAAAGAGGAAAAGCAAGCAAGATCCTTTACAACTTAATTTATATAAAAACCCAAGTTGGGGCCAGGCGCAGTGGCTCATGCCTGTAATCCGAGCATTTTGGGAGGTCGAGGCGGGAGGATCACTTAGGTCAGGAGTTCAAAAGCAGCCTGGCCAACATGGTGAAACTCAGCCTCTACTAACAATACAAAAAAATTAGCCAGGTGTGGTGGCAGCTACTAGGGAGGCTGAGGCAGGTGAATTGCTTGAACCCAGGAGGCAGAGGTTGCAGTGAGCTGAGATTGCACTACTGCACTCCAGCCTGGCCAACAGAGCAAGACTTCATCTCAAAAACAAACAAAAAACACCCAAGTTCAGAGATTTCCAATGAACTTTTAAAAAATCATTCCACTTGCTAGAGCAGACAAGAGAAGCCAGATCACCTCCTTCCTTAGGCAACTGAAGTTATCATGAATACCAAGAGAAGGCAAGTTTCAACTTTTTCAATATTATCTTTGAAAAAAAAAAAAAAAAAGCAAATCAGAAACCTAAACCCTTGTTTTAGTAGGTAATACAGTATCTTATTCACAACTCTATGGGAATGAAAGGATTCATTCCATTAAGTTAATATAGATAGAAGAACATACTAACTCCTTCAAACAAATAACCTGTTAATCCTTGGAGCACCAACAATCTCTGCCTTTATATATTATATACTCTACAACAAACAGGATAGTGTATTTAAAGTGATCACATGAACCAAAGTATATAACACAAGCTCAACAGAGGCCCCTATAGCCCCCTACAGAGTATATACAGTATCTCACCCAAGAAAAAATAAGATACATTTAAATATGGCCAGTCACATTCATTTGACAAGGTATAAAGATACAAAAATGAGTAATAGCCCATAACTTCAAAGACTTCACCTGAGGGAGGATGCCAGAAGCATGTGCAAAAATCAAAATCCTTTGAGATCACAGAGAACAAGGAACTTGCAGTTATTGGTAATCAAGAATTTGTCAGGTGAAAAAGTGGGAGGAAAGGTACCAACAGGCAAAGACAACAGCATACACAGAGGTATGAATGTAGACTGCACAATTAGACAACCTGATGTCCCGAGCGACCAGAGCTGGGGGAAGAAAGAGGAAGGATGCATGGGCATGAAATGGTAGCAACCAAGCCAGGAAAGGAAGCTTGCAGCTGGGTTGCAGAGAACTATATATACTATGACAAGGTGTTTGGCCTTTATCTAGAAGGCCACAGAGGAGTTATCTATAATAATGTTTTTAGAAAGCTAACTGGTGGTAATGTGGAAGAAATATTTAAAAGGAGAGATGGGAGATGGAAGATATAAGGACACCACTACAATAATTAGGATACTAGTATAATGCAAGCCAAATGTGACAGATCAGCAATAATACAAACTAAGCAACAGGAACAGGAGCAAGAGACTATATCAACTTAGCTTAGATGTGTGCCATATCTCACATGCATTGTGATTTGATCTATACAACCTTGGGGAACAGAGGCCATTATTGCCTCTTTTTACAAATGAGAAAAATTAAGTTTATAAAGATTAATTCATTTTCCACAAGTCAGCACAGATATCAGGACACAAACTCAGGACTGTCTGACTGCAGTGTCCATATTCTTTACCATAAGCTCCTGTACCAAGCTACAGACAATAGGGGAAAAATGCAGACAAAATGCAATCAAGAAGTCTTTAGAAGACACAATCAACAGGAGTTATTACAACCACTGACCACCGATACCCCACACGGGATCTTCATTTACACACTAATTCTGCCTTCCTGAACTGCTTCTGAAAATTTATTACTTTCTTCATCTAGAGATTTCTTAGTTTGCTTAATAAGTTAAAAACCTTAAACTTTTAACCACATCAAGAGTTTCAGCTATCTCACACAGGAATTTTTTTTTTTTTTTCTTTTGAGACAGGGTCTCACTCTGTTGCCCAGGCTGGAGTGCAGTGTTGCCATCTTGGCTCACTGCAACCTCCACCTACTGGGTTCAAGCAATTCTTCTGCCTCAGCCTCCCGAGTAGCTAGGACTACAGGCGCATGCCACCATGCCTGGCTAATTTTTGTATTTTTAGTAGAGACAGTGTTTCATCATGTTGGCCAGGCTGGTCTCAAACTCCAGACCTCAGGTCATCTGCCTACCTCAGCCTGCCAAAGTGCTGGGATTACAGGTGTGAGCCACCACGCATGGCCTCACATAGGAATTTTTAAGTCTAAATATTTTCTTATGGTTATAACAAGGGGGGAAAGACAAATACAGAATTAAAATTGTAATTTTCAGTCAGAAAACAACAATCTTGATATATCCAGATTGGATGAGAATAGATTTATATGCCTTAGTCAGAAACCCTAACGACATGTATACAACAGAAATGCTTATAGTGCCTAAATATAGGAGAGGAAAAAAAGGAAATTCTTAAAACTAAAATCTTTGGGCTACAAACAGCAATCCAAACACATAATTTTATGATAACACCATCGAGTTAATATTTTTCATGAAACCAACATGAAGTGTACTACCAGAAAACTAGGTAACTGATAAGGCTTACAGACCCAATTCCAATTTGATAAATGTATTACAAAAGGGAAATAAGAATTGCAGCCACTCTTGTTTCACCATGCAAATCATCTCCCATTCTAGACAAATATCTTTGTTGAACTGTCAGTCTATATTAAAAGACTGTTAAATAAGTGGTATTTCTTTCATTAAAATAAGTCATCCATCCCTCTAGGAAGAAAGATACTGATTTTCACAATATTAGCAAGATGTCTTAGCTATTCAAAGTTATCTTGACTATGAATATGAGTAACCTCAATAATAAAACAAAATATGATAAACACACTTCTCACTAAATTTGGCACTCAAAGACAAAGTTGTATTTGTCATGTTCTAACCCAGTGAGAGCATATAATCATCTGGGGTTGACTGGCTCACCCCCAGATATTAACCATTAACCACAAGTGTTGGTTTAAAAATCTAACTGTGTAAAACTGTTAAGGTCAATAAAATGATTGTTACAGTTCCATGGAAAGATTATTTAAACAAGAATCTTTAATTATTATAATTTGACTAATAAGACTTTTAAGGTCCTTTTTTCCAAATACTATGTGTGCATTATAGGTCCCCTACTGAAGGAAAAAGTTTGTATTGTGTTAGTTCCAGTTCTAATTTCCAGCTGAGTCAAAGTTCTAACAGCCTTAAAGCAGGAAATCCAAAAGGAAATTCCATCATCAGTTCCTGGGGCTTGGTAACTCAAAGCTTCTTTGAAACAGAGAAATAGAAGTCCTTGAACTATTTACTATAGCCTTACCTCATATCTTCAAGCAAATCACATTCTGCTTGATGTTTGGCTTGAAGTTTTGTCATCTGCTCAACTTGAATGTTTTTCAGTTCTTGGGTAACTTTCACCTAAAATACACCATATATTTATGAAGGTCTTTTTACAAATTTAACCCAAAAAAATTGCTTAAGGAAAATACATCTGTCAGAATATGTCTCTTGCTCGCCTCTCCCCTGAAGGCCATAAATCTATTATTCGCCATCTAGTTTTATTTACTGAAGATACTTACTTAATGAAAAATTAAAGCCAAATAGCCTGAACAGAGGTTTAATGAAAATACACGACTATAAATATTACAAACTAAAGACATGCAAAATAAACTGCCAGTCATTCCATTTCATACACAAGCTCAATCCATGTCTAGGTCTTCCTAGAGTTTTAAAAGAGGCTGTCTTCTATTTCTAAAAAAGATTCAAAGACTTTAACCACCAGGAGAGGCGAGCAGAGTGTGGATGGGGGCTGGGAGCCTAAGAGTGCCTGATACCCAATGACCAATATTTACACAATCATGATAATATGCATGAATCGACTACATAAATTACTCCATAATGGCTGCGAAAAAGCACACTGTCTCAGAATGATGCCCTCGACTTGCTGACAGCGCATCAAATCACAATCTCTTTCTCACAAAGGAGAAAGCAAAAGTGACCTTCCAGCATATGCAGTGCTTTTAAACTACCCCGGCAAGCCGATCCCGGTAGAGGCTCCACTTCAAACAGCGAGAACAGCAAATGCCTGCTGGCCAGAGAGCCTCGCCCGCCAGGCCGGGCCCCAGGGTGCGAAGTTACGGTGGGTCTGGAATCTCGGCCTTAGGAGTGGGACCACTCGGACGGGTGGGGGTACATGTTCGAAAGAAAATGACTCACTTAAATGGAGAAACCCGGATTAGGAAAGAGAGAAAGCAGAGGCAGCAGACACGGGTGAGTTAGGCGTTAGGCAAATGTTTGCCCACGAGGGGAGGACAGAACGGCCTCATCCACCCAGTGCCCAGAGTAGACATTCAGTATCCATCTGTAGGATTAAAAAGACAAGGACACAGCCTCGACCCCTGGGAAAGCTGGGGAAGGGCGCAGCGGGGAGGCTGATGACAAGCAGGGTGCATCCGTCACTCCCACCCTGGTCATCCAACCCCGGATCGCAGTGCACACGCCACGCACCTCCGGGGCCCGGTCCTCGCTTTTCAGAAGACAGCACTACAGCCTCCTCGCCCCTCAGTCGGGAGCGAGGCAGGACCCGTCAATCCTTAATTTATTTTCCCTTGGGGTGGGGAGGCGGTGACTATTCCAACTTCTTTTCGGCCGCCCCGTGGGAAAAGCAGGCCAAACCCTAAGGCTAGGCTAGAAACAAATCCCCCGCAAATTTGCAAACGGGCGGGGCTGGCGACAAGCGGCTGGAGGGCTCAAAGCTGGTGCAGACTAAACAATCACACACGCACAAGGCTCTGCAAAGCTGCCGGGGCGTCCCTGCCTCCCCCTCGGTGCAGCCCGGAGAATGCACTTTGCAGCGGGCAGCATTGCCATGCGCGCGCACACACACAAATGCACACCCGAAACTCTTGTGAAATGTCTGGGGGTCTCCTGCGTAGAAGAGGGACGAGCCCCGGCGGCCCCTCTGTCGGAAAGGCAACTCACGAGCACGCCCCCCACCTGGAGCCGGCAGCAAGTCGGTGACAAGCCCAAGGCGAGGGCGGTCACGGCCCCTTGCGGGAGGGGGAGGGGGCGCAGCGGTCGCCCCAGCCGCGTTCCCAGTACGCATCCCTCTGAACCCCAAAGCCCACCAACTGCGCCCTTACCTTCCTCGGCGGCGGCTGCATGATGCTGAAGGGACATCAATCCTCCCCGACGGCAGCCTTAGCAAGGACCAGGAGGAGGAGGGCCGGAGAGGAGGGGACGGCCCAGCGAGCGCGCGCGTGTGTGAAAGGAGAGCCTAAGAAGCAGGACTTGCCCCGAAGGGAGCAGGCCGGCGGGCGGCAGGAGGACCCCAGCCAGAGAGCGAGTGTGAGGAAAAGGGGGAGGAGCGCCGGGAAGGCTTGGGGCCCGGGCGGCCCGGGGGTGTGTGAGGAAGGAGGCGGAGACGGCGAAGGGGCGGGGGCCCCGGGAGCGGGGTCGCGAGGGTCTCAACCGGCCGGGCGGCGGGTGAGCCGCAGCAGAATTGTCCGCGCTCCCCGTCCGCCGCCTGCTGGGCCGCTCCCGGCGGACGCAACGGCCCCCACCCCACCCACTCAGGCGGCCCGGCCCTCGCTGGGCCTAACGCCCCCGCCCACCCGGGAGGAGGAAGGTGGTGCCGCGCTCCCGGCTAGGGCTCCACCACTCAGGCCGCGGGAATTTCCGGCCTCGCCGCGCGGCGCAGCGCCCCGCTCCGGCTGCTGAGGGTACCGCTCCGTCCAGAGCGGGGTTCGAGGGGCCGGTCCGCGCTGCCGGTAGGGAGCGAGGCCACGGCACAGGGCTTCGTACCGCGGCAGGGGAAGGGGGGAGCTAACGGATTGGTCGGCGGGTGGGAGGTGTAGAAACGCCAGCGCCACGCGAAAATCCCCCCTTTCTCTCCGAGAGTGGCACGTTCCAGACGCCTCCTGGCCTCCCTCCCCCACGCTGAGAGCCAGCCGGGGGCTTCCCGCGCGCTTTCCCGCCAGCTCGCCCCAGCGCGCGTCTCCGCTCGGGGGCGCGCACGTGGGCGGGAGAGGGCTCGGCGCCGACGCACGCGCAGAGGCCGCCCCCGTCTCCTGCCCGCCTTTGCGGCTGCAGTGTGTTAGTGTATGTGTCGGGGGGCGGGGGGTGACGCTCGCAGGGAAATGTTTGCAGTGGGGAGGGGGTCAGCATCCCTGTGGGATACAGAATTCTGGCGTTTGCTTCCTCTCAGCCCCTCAACACCCCACTCTCCCTACCAGCTAGATGTGCGCAAGAGGGACGAGCAAGGACAAGTCGCTTTGCGGCTGGCCGCAGGTGCCAGGCCATTGCGATTGTAGGGCGGAAAGGCAATTGCTCTGCAAAGGAAACGGCGGCACTCTACTGCAGGGCATTCAAGTCAAAGATCACTGACTCTGCGCTGAGAGGGAGCCGAGAGAACGTTAAGGCCGAGGCCCCCATTTCACAGACGGGGAGGCAAGTGCCCATAGAGGGAAGTCTTTCTGAAGGTTACACAGCAGGACTAGAATCTCTGCGTCAGGAAGGGTTCTATGGGTTATTTTAAAAAAGAAACAGGTGCAGGATAATAGGCACGAGGAAAAGTAGAGGAGGCAGGAGAGGCCATAGAGGAAGCCCTTGTCTGGGAGTCAGGATCTCTGGGTGCCAGTCCACTTTGCCTACCCCTAACAGGCTAGGTGAGCTCGGGCTTCCTTATCTGCCAGTGAGGGTGCTTATCTAAGCAGTGCACCCCACCACCACACATGAACCTTCCTGCTCTGTTCAGACCATCTACAGGGAGGGTTATCGGCCTCCCTTGGGGTCCTCAGAAGAGGAATACCTCTTCCCCATGCCCAGGGAGTTTTTTTGAGTCACGGGGCTGTGTGGAGGCTGAGCTGGATTACTCCACCGTTTTTTCAGAAGTTGAGATCCCAGACAGCTGTTCTCAGAAGTGCAGTCAGGCCTAAGAGGAAGGTGAATGAGGCCTGGAGAGACAAGTAACTTCCCAGGTGACCACATGGCCAGAAATTGAAAAGGTGGAACTTAAACCCAGGTTGTTTACATTGAGTTAGGCTAGATTCTTGTACAGAAAAGTGATAGAGCTGTGTTTTGAGTAAGATTAATCTAGAGCTGTGTATGAACTAGGAGACTAGTCTTGCTATTTCTGGGTTCAAAAGTTAGCCCTTCACCAGAATCCTTAATTAAATCAGGGAAGGCCTGGGGCAAGGGGACAGGTGGATAGAGGCCTAGGGCCCTGACAGCTGTGAGGCGGCAGCTAGAGCCCAGGCCACAGTAACCTAGGCTGGGCTCCAGTCTCAGCTCCACCACCAATTTTTTGTGAAGGCTTGAGCTAGTCAATTCACTTATTTCAGCCTTGTTTCCTCACTTGTAAAATGGAGGTATAATGCTAACCTCATAGGCTTGCTGTATTAAATAGAATTTCTCCTACCACAGGGCCTGGCATGTAGTGCTTAGTAAGTGCTTATTGATTCATCATTCATTCAAAAAATACTTGCTAAGGTCCTGCTTTGTTCCAAGCCTATGCCAGGCACTGGGGTTCTAGAGATGAGCAAGATAGAATCAGCCTTCACCAAGATTGAGTTCCAGACCAACCATTCCTTGAATGACACTTGGCTAGTGGAAGAGGGGTAACACAGTACTTGGCCCAGATGCAGTGTCATGCACATAGCAAGTGCTTAACAAAGATTTGCTGAATCCTAGTCTTGGGTGCAACTGGTCTGGGCCAGAGATTATCCTCCCTTCACCTCTCTTCTTAGGAAGTGAGCACTGGGGTATAATGGTGCTGGATGTTGGGAGACATGAGATCCAGCCTCTACCATGGATCTAGTGGGCTTTCTCTGGGCCTTGGTGCCAGCCTGCAGAATAAGATAAGTGAGTGAGCCTAGAACTTAGGAGGCTGTTCACAGAAGAAGTCAGACCCTGGGGATTTAGTTTATGCATATAGGAGGGCATCCTCTACCTGATTTGCCATCATTCTGAAGCCAGGAGTGGCATTGACTTTCTGGAATGATTTCCTTTGGAAGTGTTATAAAGAGCTAAGGGCAATACCAGATGGGCTTACCTACTGACTCCTATTTCAAAAATGTGATTTTTTTAAAAAATTGTTTTAATACTTACCAAGTGCCTTTTCCAAACCCTAAACTTTCATATTACTTTTCCAAGCTAATCTTTACCTGTGAGATAGTATTATTTTCTTCATTTTTACTGATGGGGAACTGGAGGCTCAGTGAACATAAGTGACTTACCCTGACATGATAGACTTGAGACCATAACCCAGTTGTTCGATGAGGAATGTTCCTGTATGAAGAATGTTCAAGGGAATTGGGAGAGTTCCTAACCCAGGAAAATAAGCAGACCCAGGAGGATACAATCCATTATGTTCCAGACTCTAGGGGACCGGGGAAGGGATTTCTGTGACTTATGTAAGCCTGACTTGAAATGTACCATTTTGAACAGGGCTGGGGACTTTCAGAGCCTTGTTCATGCAATGCAGGGACGTGCTGTGTTGCCAGTAACATTGCTTGAGATTCTTTGGGGAAATGGTGCAGAGCAGCATGCACTATGGCCCCAGAGACAAAACTGGGACAGGTCTTAGCTGCATCTCAGGGAGGAGCTTTTCCAGGCAGAGCTGCCCCTGGAGGGAGTGAGCTCCCTGTCCCTGGGGCTGTGCAAGCAGGTTCTGGCTCCCTTCCATCAAAGAGGCCACAGATGGGATCTCACTCTGAAAAGAAATTAATAACAGCTGCCATTTATTTTGCCTCTTCCATGTTCCAGACATTAAAATAGGCATGTTATTTACATTGTTTCCAACATTCACAACAACTCCTCATAATACATAATATAATGATACATAATATATAATATAACCTCATAATACATAATATAACCCCATTTCACAGGCTGCAGCTCAGAAGTGACCCAAGGTCACACAGCTAGTGAAGGAAAGGGAGGCCTGGCCCCTGGCTCTAAAGCTGTGCTCTCCCTCCAGCATGCTGCAGTGCAGTCTCCCATTTCGTTAGGAATATGATTCTAAGGTTAAGTCAGAGCTAGGATCAAAAACTGGCCTGGAGCAGGTATATGAATGGGTATTGGAAGATCAGCTGTTCTGATATTCCAGGGCTCCTGGGAAAACTGGCAGGGAGACAAAGTATACAGCAGCCCTTTAGCATGGCCAGAATATGAGTAGCACACTACTCCCAGTCCAGAGCACACACCTAGGACAGTTTGACTCCATCAAAGGCTTTCTTCAGAGAAAGTAGCTGCCAGTCCCCCTGCCCACACTGCACCAAGGCATCCCTGACCGTTCCTGCAGTTGGGGTCCATCAGCCCTCTCTACTCTGTCTTCCTCTGTGTCATTAGCTCCCACCTGCATTGACACAGGCTGCTCAGGAATGCTTGTCAGCATGTCTGGATGCCAGCTATTCCCTGCCTGAGCCCCACCAAGTCCAGCTGGGGATGCTGTGGCAGACAGCGTGATCTATGGACCCCATCCCCATTCATCTCCTTCCTACCCCAGTCACCTTTCCCTACCCATGCGTTTGCTCCCTGAGCTAATTCCCTCAACACCAACCTCCTGCCAGCCTGATGTGAGAGCGTGCCTGTTTCTTCCACTATCAGTTCTTAGGACAGAATCCCAGAACAGGTAAATGAGGCTTCAAGATTGGTCCAGAAAAGAGCAGGGGCTCTCCTTGACACACAGTGAGTTTGTTCAAGGTACTAGGCTTTGAATTCCATAGTGTCACTCAACAAGCCCTTATCCTGGGCTTAGTCATGAGCAGGTCTCTGGGGTGAGGAGCTGCCCACCAGGAGCTCCCAATCTCAATACAGAGACCAAGGTCACAGCAGTGAAACATGTAGGACCAGGAGGGTCATAGGGACCCAGATCCTACTAGGTGGTGGCAGAGATCTTCTAAGGCCAGAGGCAAGTCCCCAAGAAGCAGGCACTAGGACCAGGAATTATCTTGTCAAGTGTTGCCTCTGCCAGGGAATATTACAACTTTGGATGACAGGGGTGGGGGTGTACGGTGAATGAGCAGCCAGTGCCAGGGCTATCATAGGAGCTGATAGGCACATGGTTTTGACATTAGGAGGCAGGAAACCACCTTGCAAATTCTATCTTTGCCAGGTACTCACTGAGTGTGACCTCTAGCGCATCACTGTCCTCTCAACGTTGGTTTCTACATCTATAAAATGGGAATAACAAATTCTGTCCTGTCTTCCTCTTGGAAGGCTGTGCAGATTAAATGAAATAACAGGTATATGAACTGCAAAGGGCTCAGGAGCCACATAAACAAGTAACTGCTGATCCTGGGACACATCAGGGAAGGTTGAGTGACCGCCTGTATTGAACGCTGATCAGCACCTTCCGCCATGAGCTGCGCTGTAATTAGGCAACAATGAGTAAAATACATTTGGTGGAGGGGTGAGGTTACAGGGGTCTGAGCTCAAGCAAACCTGGGTTAGATGTCTGATTCCTCTTCTGCCAAGCTTAGAGTTTTTGATCAAGTCTTGAAACCTCTTTTCAGCCAAGTTTCCTTGTCTAGAAGGGAGATAATGGCTCTTTGCAGGGTTGCAGTGGGAATCAAATAGGAATGTTTATGTAAAGTGCCTGCAACTGTGTCAGCCCACAAATGTGTTTCCTTTGTTGAGTTTTCCTTCAGTTTCCCGTCATTTTGTTATGCCTTTATTTCTAAGTTAAAAAATAAAACATAAAAAGAGGAATTTCCATGGAGGAGATTGAGCCCCACTAGAATCCTAGTTCTGCTCCTTACTCATTGTGAGGACCTGGGAAGTCCCTGCCTCTCCCTCAGCCCAGGTTTTCTCATCTGTAACACCAGGAGTTCCACCAGGGAGTTTCTCCAGGGCCTAGCCTGGGAGGTACAGGATGCTACCAAGTCTGTGAGCCCCTTTCAGGGAGAGGACCCTTCAGGCTGAACTGGGTAAGGAGGGCCAGGCGGGGATCAGGGGAGGGAGAGGAGAGTTGTGGGAGAGGGAC